GTTCTTTTCATTATTGATTTAATTGATTGGATTATGATCTTCTAACCATGAATGATGAATTTCTATGGTTTTATGATGTTTTTCCCTATGAACCCATGTAATCCCTATGTTTTCAAGTTATAACTATATGTTGTGGGATTTTGATCTTAAAGGAAGATTATTATGAAATTAAGCATGTAATGAGAGAATTAAATGAATTTATGAGGAAAATCCATATCTAACCCTTGTTTCTAAATGTTGATGATTGAAAGAGGGTTTTTGACCTTGAAAGATGATTATGGAATTATGTAAATGTTTTAAGGGTGCTTTGAGAATAAAGTACCAATGATGATGTTGTGTTGTGAAAGGACATTCTCTTAAACACACACTAGCATGATGTGAAAGGTTTTCTCACATAGAAAAGATTCTTAGGTTGAAAGGCTTTCTCACTTAATTGAATCAAACAATAAGAGCTATCCTAATGAACTAGCTTGGATTAGCAAGATGATATGCCTTTCCATGGATAATGGAAATGAGTAAGAACATACTATTCCGTGGGATTTATGCTTAGCACCGAGTGGATATTGACAATGAGATGGAAGCTCTCCTGTTATTAGAGGCCGGGTTCCTAGAAGAAGTCTCATGAGATGGAAGCTCTCCCGTTAGTAGAGGTCGGGTTTATAGTAGCAATCTCCTTATCCCTTAACTATGTAACCCATAAGTTGATTAGCTAGTGGATCCACCTAAGCTAGAAGTTCATGGTTCTACCTTAGGCAAGTTGAACAACCCTTTTCAGTGTAGGAGACACCGGGAGATCATGTTATTATAGCTCACATGGTCTCTACATCGGTTAAGGCAAATTTCCCACATTAATAACGAACTAAGGTTACTCAAAGAGTATCTCATATGTGTTCAAAGGCTTTAAAGATGATGTTAGCTTTCATTGACCATGATTTATGACATATGTTTTATAACTCTTTCATATGATGTTTAACTTGGTCAATTGCATGTCATGAGATGAAATGTCCTTTTTTGCATGATTTAAATGTTTTATGCATGACTATCATACTTGGTACATTGTTTTGTACTAACGCATATTCTTGCCTACATTTTCCCCAAATGTAGGGTCCGACAGATAGGTTTTTGAGTCTCATGGCTAGTAGTTGAGTTCGTGATTTCCCGAGCTTTGGTGAGTCCTCACTCTTTGAGGACGGAGTTATTGTTTTAGTTTCTTTCGTGTAATTCCTTTTTGAACATGATGTATAGGCTAGGCCCAATTTCATTCTATTGTATTAGATGGCTATGATGAGAGAAAGTGTCTAGACTTCCGCTTTTCATTTTATAAAATGTTTTGGACTTGAACTGTTTTACTCTTATTGTTCTATTTCTTATGTTATAAAAGCTAAGTGGCTTGTATGGAGTCCTTCGGGGTTCTATACGCCATGTTACATCTATGGGGTACCCCTGGGTCGTGACATATATTGATATCCTTAAGTTGTTGTTCATGTTTATGTTCCACATGAACCCTAATTTCTGAGTTTTGATTGAGAGTCTTTTGAAGAAGCATCTTTTGTCATAAATAAAATTTGAGAAGCTAAAAGTAAGTTCAAGAGTAAAGTTTAAGCCTAATTTTGAGAAGATTTGAAGGGAACTATATGATTCCCTAATTGTATCAATTTTACATAGAGGAGTATTATTTTTAGAAAAGTTACGAGTTTTCAGAAATATTGAGTACAAAGCAATTACCTATTAAAGAGGTTCTTTTTGAGAACTTCTCTCAAATATAAAGTAATATATATATAATTGAATGCTCAATATATATATTTGGGAGTAATATTGAGCACCGATATGGGGAAGACTTCAGACAACCCACATTCCTCATAAACCACGTAGCCAACATGAGATAGGATCATACCAACATTCGGGTGATTCCACACTGCATATGAGAAGACCTACTATATGGATCCATGAGATAAGTATGTTCTATACCCCGGCAAGGTATAGGACAGTTCTGGCAACGCGCGCGAGTCACTATATCATCACGATGCTTATAGCGATGGTTGTCGGTTAGAGAATCTCCCAGATAAAGTAGAGAGTATTTCATTATCATATTTATATATGTACAATTAATTGAGGTAGCATATTTATTTGTAAAGCTTTTAAATGACTTTTTCTCTACTTATGCTTTACATTTAGCTGAGTATCTTGCTTCAACTTCTTCCGTTTAGTTATTTATATTCCTCAACTATATTACATACTCGTACATTCTATGTACTGATTTCATTCAACCTGGAATTTTTCATGATGCAGATACAAGTGTTCAGGATCATCAACAAATGCTCTGTTGAGATCACTTTGCACTTCTTGCTAGCTTTGGTGAGCCTTCCTTGCATTCCAAAGGACTTAACTTTTGTCTTTTAGTTTAGTAGTTTTAAGGTGTCGTGGGTCTTGTCCCGACTCCATGTTGAACTATGCAGGCTTCATAGGTAGTTAGTGTTGAGTTTCTTTCAGTATTTCCTTTGAACTATTTGACAAACTATTATTGTTTTCAGAGTATTCTCAGACAGTTTAAAGTAGACTATTTTGAGATATTTTGAGTTTTTAGAAGTTTTGAGACTTTTAAAGTTAAAATTCCGTTTTAAAGCTTAAATTTTCTTGAGTTAGTCTTCCGCTAAGTAGTCAGCCAGGCTAAGAGTTCTCTTGGGGATCAACAATGGTTCTCAAGTGTCGGCCACGTCCAGGGTGTAGGCTCGGGGCGTGACATAATCATCATCATACATTGGTCCAATTGTCTTTTATTAGTTATCAACAATGGTTCAGAAGCATTCTGAGTTGGTAAATTTAGGATCAACACGCAACTGAAAGTTTCCAATATCACCGTTTTCACGTTCTGGAGAATTACTTTGACTAGCAGAGGAACGTATATGACGACCAGCTGAATTTTTATATGCAACCAGAGTCCAATTTCCTGCGTGCAAATCATTATATTTATTAGTTGTTTGCCACCTGTTCAACATTTTCCCGTCCCAAAAAATTGGCCTTACAGAACTCAAATCTTTCAGCCACTTCACCATCACCTGTACTAATTAGTTTCTGCCAGAATCAGCTATTGATGTCTCTTTCACCTCTAGGAATGTACCAGCCGCTTATTTTAACGTTACAATAGTAGCTAAGTTGGATTTCTCACTTGTAACACCTCTGTTTTGAGATAGTTGTTGTCCCAATTCGACAATCGACTCATTGATCAAATTAGTGGCATTATTATTAACTTCAGCTGTAGCATTTTCCATAACCTTGAAGACATTCAAATTAGTTGAAGCTAATTCCTTTGTGGATGATACTTCAGCCATTTGGTTTCCATCCCTCTTTGCATTCAAAAAAGCTATTGCATCCCCTTTCAGTTGCTCAACATTGTTGGCCTCAAGAGAAGGTTGTACAAGACCTTCTTGAACATCAAATTTAAGTTTATGACAATGAGAACTCACCTCATGTCCTTGATATTTGCAAATCGTACAGTACAGGGAAGAGCATCATATTTACACGACTTCTGAATATTGTTCCAATACTTTCCCCCACTTTTTTTCATCCAAATAAAATAATTTAATATTTTTGAATGCTTATCTAGAAGATCAACCAAAACTTTCATTCTTGTCGTACTAGGTCTTGATCTAATCTGTATCGCTTTATCAATTGCTAAAGGTTTTCTAACGGCTGAAGCAATGGATAATAAAACTTTTCCTGCAAACATATTAGGTGGAAGGCCTGGGAAAGAAATCCATGTCAAAGCTATAGAGGTTTCTTCCTTAGGGTTAAACCATTGTCATAGAAACGCCCTATATAAAATTTCTTCACTTCTAAATTACAAATAACGTACATGAGTAGAAAGTGTTATTACAGAGTCATCAAATTGATCAAATCTGATTCAAAAGTGTCTATGGGAAAGCCAACAAACTAAAAAGTTGCCTTTGATGCCAAGTTGCTTGGGTATTAAGGTGTGAATATCATTCAAATTAGGATGACCATAGGTGAATATGATAACTATCTCCTGGTGTAATCCTTCCTCCCTTGTGAATTTAGAAATCTCATCCAGAGTAAATTTGATATTAGGTTCGCCATGGAGCAACTCAACTGGATTTGAAATTGTTTTGGTTTGGAATTTAGAAGATGAATTAGCATGAAGGAGATGATCTTAGAAGACATCTCTCCCACAGCTTGAGGTTGGGGAGAGGAGGGCAACACCAAGGTAGTACTCAAAGCTCCATGTAACCAAAAGAGAGAGAGAGAGAGAGAGAGAGAGACTAACTAAGATAAATGAAAAATAAAATCGGAGACAAAAAAAAAGAAAATGAGAGAGAAAAAAAATTAGCAGAGGGAATATAATGCATTAGGAATCAATTTTTCACTTTGAGTGTACACCACAATATAAAACCAACTTCCCAAAATTTTATATATAAGATTCACTGTTAAAGTCTAATAGGATGAGGGCACGTTCACCATATGCTCTAAGTAAATCCATCACTTGAAGAGAGATAGGAGTCAAGAATGAAATGGAAAATTGTTTCTAGATTTGTTATATTAAAGAAAACCGATCTCCTACCAACTTTTTAAGAAATAATTGACTGCGTTGAAAAAAATCGACCTCTTGAGCTTAGTATAACTAAATATGTTTTGTTTTTAAACAATATCAAACTCAGGAGGTCGTCATTTCTAAGTTATTATACTTTAAATACATTACCGAAAGTTAGGGATGCAAAGCTAAACTAATTAATGTATATATTGAAGTAAGGTTCTATATTTTCCTATTTTATGTATCAACATTTGCTAAAAGCATAAGAGATTAGAAAGATTCTTGTGCATCAATGATGCTTATATATATATAATAAGACCTTGCAATGTCAAACCACATTTGCAAGTTCAGTTTGAAAAACTGAAGAATTATCCACCATATGACACGAAAAACAACAAACTAAAGTTCAAAGTTGCATTTAAACAATTTGACAATATTTGTAACATATAAGAAATTAAGCATTGCCTATTGATGCATCATCAACTATGTTAATAAATTCCATCGGATTATCAACCTCTTTTCCACCGCCATGCTTCACAAATTCAGCTGGTGAGAAGAACCTTCCATGGCAAATGCAAACTATTGAAGTTTGCTTTCCTTTTCCATAGTTGAAAAGGAATCCTTCTGTCACTTTTCCATTAATGATTCCACCAGAAGTTGTCACAGAAGGCATAATCCTTAGCAGGTCACTCGTATCCATTGATGTGACAACATTAGAATTCTTAACTTTCTTTAATGGTTTTTCGCCATTACTTTCTGGAAATACAATTGACTTGCCTTTTCCCGTATTGAATTTGATAGCTGATTTCTCATTTTCTGATAATGTAGAATGAACGAGAGATTTGTTAATTGAAATAACATTTTAAGGGCATGTAAGCACAATTACCTTACTTTTAGTCATGGTTGAGGGGATAGGAACAAAAGATAGAGTAGTTGGTTTTTTTTTCCTCTATAGTTTTTGAAGGAACAACTGTTGAGTTACCTTTTGCAGTAGTGTATGGTGTAGACTCCCATACAACAAGAAAATTGAAAAAGAAATTAAATAAAGTTAGTAGCTATTTGAAATTAATTATCATTATTATAAGATGTCATAAATACATGAAAAATGATTCTAGGTTGATTGTTCATCTTTAATGGCTCGACAAATTTCTTTCTTACCTCAGTCTTAAATTTTTCTCTCGTGTCTTTTAGTGAAAAAGATTAAAAGAAAGATCAAACATTGAAAAGGTACTATTTTTTTAGAAAAAAAAAGTACTATTTGTCTGATCTTTGTGGGATCAAATCAAATGGAAGAAAATTTCATGTAACAATTTACTTGGCTTAGAATTGAACTTGGAGAACAAGCTGAAATACGCGGAGAACAATTTTTGCATTTTTTTTATGCTTGGAGCCAGAGTTTGGCCACCTATAAAAAGATGGTCATTGTCCATTGTAAAAATTCATCCAGAAACTAATATTAAATTACATTAGAAGAGTAGAGAATTAAGAGAGCAATTCTCTTAGATGTATTTGGGATCTCTCCCCTTTCTTTAATAATATACAAGCAATTGTTCTTTGGTGGACGTAAGATTATACTGATCCGAACCACGTTAAACATTGTTGTTCTTCCTTTATTTTTTATTTTTCACGTTTCTGTTAACAATTAGTATCAGAGCCAAGGTTCTGTCTGTTTATGCTCTATGGTTGCAACACAATCTCAACTCCCACATCATAAAAGAAGTACTTTGATTTTCTATATTTCCAAATACTTTGTGGTACAAGAGGAAGAAAAGTAAGGATGAGTTCCATGAAATTTTAAATTGATGGATTTAGTGGGCCCAACAACTTCCATACATGGATTATGGTGTTACTGTGGAGGGAAGGTTTAATCCATACTATTTACTGAAAGTATTCCAATGACACATCAAATTTCTACAATGAGAATATTGAAGGAGATGCATTGAGTGTAATCCAACTGTCCCTTGCACCTAACATTCTTTGTGAAGTGAGTACAAGTATCAAGGAGACATCCAAACAGTTTTAGGAAAAGCTGGAAGGGATTTACCAAGACCGGTCGGTGACAACAAGGATGTTATTACAATGGCGTCATCACACACTTAAGATGGATTCATGTACTTTGTTACAAGACCATATAGATGTGTTCAATAAACTTGTGATGGACTTACAGACTGCCAAAATTTAAAAAGAATGAGGAGACGCTTGTATGTGCTTTGCTATTTTCATTGACTTTAAAATATCATGATATTGAAAATTCAATTATGTATAGCAAAGATCCTATTAATCTTGAGCAAGTGCGGCAATTACTTAACTCTTGTGATGTGCAGATGCATTTTGAAGGAGATAAACGTGACGAAGCTAGTGGACTCTTTGTGTGAGGCCATACTAGCCAACAGAGAACGAGAAAATCAAAGTACATATCAAATTCTTGTGTGAACAAGAAGAATGCAGAGTGTTGGGGTTGTCACAAGAATGGCACTTTTAACAAGATTGCCCTATGTTAAAGTCCAAAGAAAAGGCATGTACATGATTTTGATGATGAATATATGCTAACATCATCATGCAATAGTGGAGTCTATGAAAACAAATGGTTGTTAGATTCTGGTTGTACTCTACGTATGACATTCTGAAGAGATTGGTTCATCAGCTATGAGACTAGTGGAGGAACCGTAGTAATGGTCAATAATGCAACTTGTAGAATAGTTGGCATTTGTTCAGTTCGGGTTCGCTGCGATGATGGAATCATGAGGACTATTACAAAAGTCCATTATGTTCCTAATCTGATGAAGAATTTAATCTCCATGGGTATTCTGGATTAACATGGCTACAAGTACATGAGTGAAGGAGGAACTCTGAAAGTGACTACATGGTCTTTAGTCATGCTGAAGGCCAAGCTGAAGGATGGCCTCTACACATTAGCAGGAAGTACAATTGTTGGCTATGTAAATGCATATATAGTACAATTATCTGATGATGACAAGTCAATATTATGGCACATGAGAGAAATTATTAGCTTGGAGCTACACAAATAATGGCTTGGGGTTTTATAGTGAAGAGTTCAATGGTTTCTGCAAGGTTCTGGATAGCAAGACATAAGACATTAAGGCACACACCACAACAGAATGAAGTTGTCGAGAGGATGAATAGAGCTCTTCTTAAGAAGGCTCATTATATGCTTTTACAAGACAAAATATCCAAAGTGTTTTGGGCTAAAGTAGTTCACATTGCTTCTTATATTGTCAACCAATCTCCAGCCTCATGATTGACTTTAAGACTCCTAATGAGGTATGTCCAGGTGAACCCTCTAACTATTCATTCTTGTGAATATTTGGGTGTCCAACTTATTATCATGTTAATGAAGGAAATCTTGAACTAAGGCTAAGAAGGCCATATTCGTAAGGTATACAGATGGAGTAAAAGGGTACAAGCTTTGATGTTTATCTTAACTTAAATTTGTTTTCAGTAGAGATTTTACCTTTAATGAATCCTCTAAACTTAATCCTCATAAATTTTATGTGGAGTTATCAGGAAACGAGAACAACGAGTAGATGAAGCTACAACTGGAGCTTACCTGTAATGACCCTCCAGGTCATTTATGTGTTAATGACTTCTGTTCAACTTTTGAAGTGTTCCTATAGCTACCCCAAGTAATTTATGACATACTAGGAATGATAGTTAGTTCACCTAGTCGTTTGTTTGGTTTTTATGTGAATTTTTATGTTTTAGATCTTTTGAATCTTAAACGGTCGTTTTGGATCAAAGATTCAGGAAGATGACCGAAGAATCTAATTATAATGATTCCATCATCTCCTAAAGGGACATTTAGGCTAGTCACATGGTTGGCATGGTTATCGAAGCTTTCGGTACGAGTTTGTGCAATTAGATAATTTAACTTTCAAGTTATGGCCTAAGTTTGACCTTGGTAAACATACACAGATTAGAATTATGTTAGCGTGGTTTATTTTGGTCTAAAATGACCCTTCATGTAGATCCCAAGGCTCTCGGGCTAATTCCAAGCCCCTTATGGATTTTGGTTTAAAATAAAGTTTGGTGTGGAGCCCACTTTTAGTCAAGATGACCTCGTATGGAAGTTTAGACTGGTCCATTGAGTTCAGAATGTCAAATTTGATTGAGTTGCATATCTTGTTATCATGCACGGGGTTCCAAACTAATCCTGAGCCCCGAGGCAGAGCCTAGGGGACTTAGCTGAAAATTTCTGGAGTCTGATGTTGGTGTTGTCACTTTAGCAATCCTGGTCTCACTTAATAGACCTCCACTTAAGCGACCAGGGATTTTCTTTAGCGAGCTAGTCAATCTAGGCGGCAATTGCTTTAGCGGTCATGGCTCCGCTTAAGCGACAGGGGCTCCCATAAGCGAGCTTAGCCAGCCCAAGCCTCGTCGCTTTCGCGACCCTAGTGCTGCTTAAGCAAGCCTCTCTTTAGCGACCAAGGTAGCATGGAAGAGAGGCCTGCCTCTTATTGGCTAGCTGCTTAAGTGATGTAAGTAATTGCATAAACGACCCTCATCCAATCTTTTAAAGACTTAGACAAATTTAAGCTCTTTGTTCAAAGTTCTTATGGTGATTCCTCGCTTATTTTAGCTTCAAATAGAGTGATTCAAATTAAAGTACGGGTTGATCAAAAAGCTTGGGGCTATGTTTGCATGTGATCGGGGAGCATCGGGGAAAGCTTGTTGAATGTATTATCATTGTTTTATGGACTGTTGTAGTCCCTTGTTGTTCTTTAAATGTGAAGTTTTTTTCTATGTGGCTTTTCTTGCTATTTTGAGCCCTGAATTATGTTCTATTTTGGAACACAAGTTATGGGTACTGTGCTAGACCTTTTTACGGAATTGACTTTGTAAATTCTTGTGTGGGTCCCATGATTCCCATTTTGACTCCAAAATTGGTTCGTCTCCAGTTATGTATTTTTGGTGTTGAAATGACCTTATTAACATTGTGATCCTATTTTTATATGTATAAAATGGTAGCGTTCTGAGGCCGTTTGGAAAGGAAACCCTCTAGAAAAGTTTTTTGGAGTACACGTAGTCGGCCTAAATATAGGCTACGACTTTCCTACGCATAGATTGATCTTGAATATGTAAATTCATCGTGATTTGAATTAATTAGGCTTGTTTCAATATTTCCGAGATTTGAACCACGCTAGTTGGGGTTGTGTGATCATCTTTATGTCTTGTTGAGACTTTATTTTGTTTATTGTTGTGTAATTAGCATATTTGACCTTAGTCTAGGATTAGACTAGTGTTTGCCTTAGACTTGCGATACTTGTTGCCTTTAGGCCTTATTTCTTCTCTGACGTCATTTCAAACAAACTAGTTTCCCGTAGACTGGTGTAGAAGACTTGAGCTTGATAGAATGAGCCTAAGTTTAGGCATTGTTTCATCTTTGTCGAGGTTCTATTTACTCTCCCTATTTCTACGGCCCCATTGTGATATTGGAGGGTTTTGTGTTTCACTAGATGACTTGAGATTGAAGTGGTTCAGGCTAGTAGCCTTATATTGATTTATCGTGAGTGGGCGTCATTCCACAACAATATTAATGGTAGACAATACACGATTCTTTGATGTTCTTGTTGAGGCCCCCTAGTTTACTCTTGCTAGTTGGGTTAGTACCCCTTAGAGCTTACTGTCTGGCTTGGCGGGTAGTCATATTGATGCCTCCGGGTTAATTTTGCTAGTTGGGCTAGTTCCCCTAGGAGTTACTATCTAGTTGGGTGGCCCTCGAGTTTACTCTTGCTAGCTGGGGTTGTGATTGTGGGAGTCTACTGCCCTTTATTTAGTGCTTATGGTTTGAGGTTGTTTCTTGGAGTTCGAGACTTGGGTTATGCTTTTGGTATCTTGATTCACTTACTTCACTCTTGTACTTTAGCTATTTTGTGTAACTGTCAGGCTTATAGGGGTCTGTTCGGATTTTACTTAATGTAATGAATGAGAGTACCTTCTGGGCTTATGGGGTCAGTTAGGTTTAGTTTAGTTGTACTTAATTTTTACTTCTGGTACGGTCATGTGCTTTCTTTAAATTCCGCTTTGACCTTTGTTCGTGTCTAGATTCTATCTTTTCATATTATCTTAAGCTTTCTTCCTTGGTCTGCCTATGATGCCTACTGAGTACCCATTGTTTTGGTACTCATGTTATACTTTACATCTGTTTTGTGATGCAGAACCTTGTACTAGCTATCATCGGTGATTGTTTGAGCTTGCAGCTTTGTAGATCGGAGGCAAGAGTCAGTACTTGGTGTTCTAAATTGAATGTCTCCTTCTATATATTGTATAGCTAGTGTTTTGTATTTTGAGACAAGATTTGCTTTTGGTCAACTTTTGGGACTTGTATTTTCTTGTTAGAGCAACTCTAAACTTGTAACTTTAAGGTTCTGGGAGGGATCTTTTATGTATATAGTTTTGGTTTGCTTCCGCCTATATCTAGTTATGTTGCTTAAAGTATTGATTATGTTTGTTTCTACCCTTATACTTATTACTTGTTGTTCTGGGTTATGGGTTGACTTATCTACTGGTGGGTAATAGTAGGTGCTATCATGATTCGAGGAATTGGGTCATGCTATTACAAAGGAAATGGATCAAGAGATTGAAGTTGATGAATCAAAAGATGTAGATCTTGAAGGACTTGTTGTCAATGAACCAAACACAATTGCGTTGGAAGAGAAAAAGACCGATATGGAAATTGGAACGTCTTATAGAGCAACCAAATTTGATTGTATATGCATTCGAAGTTGTAGAAGAAGAGATTAAGGATCTCGATCCCTCTTCGTATGTTGAAGCAACTTCTTGCAATGATGCTGCACAATGACGACTAGACATGATGGAAGAGATGGAGTCTTTTCACAAAAATGAGACATGGGTCTTAGTTGAAAGGCCAAAGGGGAATAGGACAGTTTGACGCAAATAGATCTACAGAAAGAAAAAAAAGGTATTTCAGAAGTGGAAGATGATAGGTTCAAGACGAGATTTGTTGCAAAAGGTTTCGCTCAGAAGGAGGAAATTGACTATAATGAGATCTTCTCTCCATTCGTGAAACATAGTCCAATTCACGTGCTACTAGAATTGGTTGCACAATTTGATTTGGATGTTGAAAACATTGATGTCAAAACTTCTTTTTTACATGGTGATCTAGAAGAGCCAATCTGTATGGACTATCCTGAAGGTTTCCTAGCTGAGGGAAATGAAGATCATATATGCCAACTGAAGAATTCCTTGTATGGTTTGAGCGATCCCCTAGATAGTGGTACTAGAGGTTTGATGTATTCATGACTACACATGGTTCTTGAAGTGTGCATTTGATAGTTGCATGCATCACAAGAAGATGTTTGGTAACTCTATGATTTATTATTGTTGTATGTTGATGATATGCTTATTGCTGCTAACAACATGATAGAGATGAATATTTTGAAGAAGCTATTGAGCAAGGAATTTGACATGAAGGATTTTGGAGCTGCAAAGATTTTTTGTTGGAATAGATATTTCAAGAGAAGACAGTGTTGTACATTTTTCTTAGAAGAGGTACATCGAATAGGTTCTTGAGAGATTCAATATGCATTTGAGCAAGCCTGTAAGTACACTGTTAGTTTCTAATTTCAATCTTTTAGAGTTACAAATTCCTTAGTCTATGGATGGGGTGGAGCATATGTCAAAGGTTCCTTATGCTAGCGCAGTTGATAGCATTATGTATGCTATGGTATGCACACATCCAATTATTGCTCAATCTGTAAGTGTGGTAAAAAGATACATGGCAAATCCAAGGAAAAGGCATTGGGAAGTTGCCAAGTGGATATTGAGATATCTCAAAGGAGCTTCTGATCTTGACCTAACCTTTTGGAAAAGTGAAGGTATTTTAATTCTCGGTTATGTAGATTCTGACTATGCAGGGGATCGAAGAAGGTACACTACTTGATATATCTTTACTCTCGTTGACATTGTCATTAGTTGGAAATCAAATTTACAATCGATTGTCGCTTTGTCTACAACGAAGGCAATGAAAGAAGCTATTTGGTTAAAAGGTTTGGTGGAAGAATTGAGTTTGGTTCAACTGGAATCATCTCTATGATGTGACAGTACTCAAAGTTCTATTGATTTGTTTAAAAATCAAAGATTTCATTAACGCACCAAACACATTGACGTCAAATTCCATTTCATTCGATATGTCGTTGAAGAGGGAACTATCATGGTCGAGAAGGTTATCATAGATGATAACGCTGCACACATGTTGACCAAGATAGTCCAGCTTACCAAGTTTGCACACTGCAAGGACTTGGCGGGAGTATACATCAATAGATGTAACTCTGGGAGAACAACTGTTAGGTGGAGCTAATGTGTTCAACAAAGGTTAGATTCTTCTTGTTTCTTACAACGGGATTCCCCAGTAAGCTTAGAAGTTTTGGCCGGAGTTGTTCATACGCAAGCTCAGAACGCAAACCAAGGTGGAGATTAAAAGAGTTTGTTTGGTCTTTGTGGGGCCAAACCCAGTAGAATAAAATTTCATGTTCCAATTTACTTGACTAGGAATTGAACTTGGAGAGCAAGCCAAAATTTGTATTTGTTTTATTTTATTGCTTAGGGCTCAAGCTTGGCCACCTATAAAAGGATGGTCATTCTCCGTTGTAGAAGTCCATCCAAAAACCCATAGAGAAATACATTAGAAGAGTAGAAAATTAAAAGAGAAATTATCTTAGATGTATTTGGGATCTCTTCCCTTTCTTTGTTAATATACAAGCAGTTGTTCTCCGGTGGAAATAGGATCATTCTGATCTAAATCTCATTAAATATTGTTATTCTTCCTTGTTCTTTGTTTTTCACGTTTCCTCTAACAAAATAAATTACATTAACTAAGTTCAAGATAAAAGCATTGAAAAAATAAGTTTAAAGGGATTAAGAAAAGAAGAGTAAATATAGGGAAAGTTAAAAAAAAATGGAAAGAATATAAGTAGGCGTAAACAAGATGAAAGCAATGTGACAAACTAAATCACTTAACATCATCAAATGGAGAAAAGGGGATATACAACATACCATAAATTTTAGACGTATCTTCTAATTTGTTATGCAGATCGGATCTTATAATCTCTATAGCCCGCTTAAAGGCAGGATTGTTGGCAGCTGATGCCCTAATTTGTGAAAACGGTTGAGGCATTGAAATTTCATTAGTCTTTTCACAATTATAAGATCCACCAGGTGAGAGATTTAGATCCATTTCTTGTTGAGCACTTGTATAGGTAGAAAGTTTACCCTTTGGTTCAGCCATAGATCACTGCAAGATAGAAAAAAATATATAAGATGCAAATACATAAAATCTGTAAGTTTAATCTTAGTCAAACAAAAAATAGAAGTCATATATATGCACCATATCAACTAGGAAATAATTATATATATAAATACATTGTAATTTTATTGATTGAAGAATTTAAGCCATGAAATTACTATACCAACGAAACTCGCGTATGTCTGAATCCGTAGTTACAAGAGGAAAATAATTGAACATCATACTTACACATCAAAGTAAATTATACTTTAAAGATGAAACTGAAAAATACTTACTAATTAGAATTGCTCGAATGTGAAAATAAAGAAGCACCCAGGCGGAAGAAACTAAGAAAAATATAGACTTCTTGTGCAGTTTCGGAGGAAGAAAGAAGGATTATATAGTTGAAGTAAAGGAAACAATTTAAAATAATTTACCCTTTACAACCTTTATTATTTTATCACATATAGATGTACATCCTTGTAATTAACAAATCACAAAGGGGTAAAATGGGTATCGGATGTTAAATGCTCGCTGATATGCTACGGTCAAAGTTTTGAAAAGATCATTAAATTTAATGAACGGTTTGACCATGTAACTTTGTAAATCTAAGCTAAATTTCAAGAATCTATAAATTAAGGACTAATGGCATGGTTGGTTCAGGTCATGAGGCCTTCGGCATGAGTTTGAACTGCTAGGCGAGATGTTTCTAAAAGTTTGGAAAATGATTGACTTTGGTCAACATTCTAGGTAAATATGCTCAGATGAAAATTCCATCATCATGGTTAGCTCTAAATGCCGAGTTTGAGCTAGAATGACCTTTGGTTTAGACTTTAAGGTGATCGGGATGTTTTTATGTTGTTTGGTGTTATGCTTATTTGATTGCTTTTGTAAGTGTTGATTTGGGTCAACATTCTATTGAGACAACCTAGTTGGTTGTTTCATCGACTCCATTGAGTATGAAATGTCATATCTGGTGGGGTAGCATAGTACATTTGCATTCATGGGGTTCCAAACGATTCACGAGCTCCTGTTCAATCATTTTTCTCAACTACAAAATGAATTGATATAGCTGGTGTTGACCAGCACCCAAATTTTGCTCAGCACGACTGTGAGCTAGGACACACAAATGTGAAGACTACCTTTCTTGATCAACATGGTTGCGGGCCATTGACCATCGTAATCGCAATGTGAGGTCAGTGGACCCACTCAAATTTAATAAATTACGATGAAGAACTTTGTTACAATTATATCAGTTCCTCACGTTTTAACATGCATATTCCCAAAGTGCATTTCCATTATTATGGAGATTGGAGAGAAAATTGAAGGAGAAATCAACTGGGAGTTGCTGGATTTTGACTATGGATAGTGTGGGAACATATTGTGGGTTATTATTCTTCCATACACTATGTACACTCCATTGATTTCTTCTTTTAAAATCCATTTTGATCATTATTGAGCTTAAAATAGATGGGACTATTTTGGGATCAATCGATGCTTGAAATGTGCCCCTTTTTAGGGCACATGTTTCTTGAGCTAGTTGAGATCTTGTGACGAAATCAATTTTTGAATTTCGTGTGCAAGCCCCACGGTCATATTTTGATCCAATTTTTGGGTCTGAAATATTTTATTGCAACTTTGGTATTGTAATACCTCGAACTTCAAAACAACTAAATAGAAGTCATGCAAGTCACCCATCAATTTTTAGTTCTGGGTCAACTTCAAACGACCAGATCTTTTAGCACATAAAGAATTAGGTGGCCCGTGAGCTATCAAATCGAAGGTATTTGAGTCCTCCTTCCAATGCCACCAAGTTTGCCCAATTTTGAGCTCAGAGTAAAAAGTTGTGCCCATTTGAGTGAAGCCTCTCTATTTATGTCACGACCCGAGCCTACACCTTGGACGTGACCAGCACTCAAGAATCAATGTTGGCCCTCAAACGAACCCTCATCCTGATTAACTACAAGTGGAAGACTAACTCAATCATACACAAGCATCAAATTGGAAGAAGTGTTTAAAAATAATTTACTAAATCTCAAAACTGAACTGGATATACTGAGTATGAAACATAAGTTTTAAATAAATATTTAAAACTGAAAGACTCTCAAAAATTGTCTATCTATGAAGCCTCTACTATACAAAGATGACTGTCACGACAAGACCCACGACTCCTCAAGAGAACTACTAGTAACAACTCATAAAAATGGGAGTCCTCCAGAATCAAGGAGGTCTTACTCAAAAGCGGATAAAAAGATCTCAACGAACTCTTGTTGAGGATTCTAAAAACCTGTATTTGCATCATTAAAAGATGCAGGTCGAATGACATCAGTACATTGAATGTACGATATGTAATATAGCTGAATAACAAAAACACTAATGAAAGGACTACTATAGATATAGATATATACTCAACTGAATGTAAAGAAATAAAGGAGTTAAATCATTTAAAACTTTATAAAATACTCTCATCTCTGAACTCAACATAATAAGTGATATATAAAAATACACTTTAACTCTATTGGGAGATTCTCTAACCGACAACCATCAGTATGAGCTACATGATGATATAGTGTTTCGCCCACGCTGCCAAAACTGTCCTATACCTTGCCGGGATATAGGACACCCAAACTAAGTGGATCCACTAAACTATGGTTAAAAGCAATAAGGAATCATCTAAAAAGTATGACCATTTACCCATGTTGGCATACATGGTTTATAAGGACTTTGAGTTGTCTGAACTCGTCCCTATATCGGTGCTCAATATACTACTCCCAATAATATATACTCATGCTCATATGTTTAAAAACATAACTCTTCCTATGGTTTGAGATAATTGCTCAAACTACCCTCTTAAAAGCGGCAACTGCTCTTGAAATATCTTTTGAACTCATAACTTATTTAGAAATCAAAATTTTTCTTTTATCAACGTAAAAACGGATACCTTTGGGAATACTTAGTCCCCTGATGCTCTTACTCACCTCATACTTGAAAAATATTTCTAAAAAACATATCAAAATCATATTGTAATATAATCATGATCACTCGGGAAGTCATACTGCATAAACATTGATGGTATATCCAGATACCATACTGCTTAAACTCGATCGTCATACTAATCATGTTTTAAAAACTCTTTCTCAAAACTCATCTTTACTTTCTCAAAAACTCATTTTAAAACACAATTGTTTGCTTTAAAAGATTATCAAAATTTATAACTCAAAATAGGGTTCATGCTGAAATATAGACATGAACTACTCAACTCAAGGATCTTAATAGCAATACGGAAACTTGGTACTCAGAACTCAACGATACTACTCATCTCAAGAATACTCAATTCATAGGGTTCATGCTGAAATATATACATGAACGAATAAACTCAAGAATCTTAATGCATAACATATAACAATTCAATAATTAGGAATAGAATTTCAAAAAGAACAAGAACTCGAGAACTCAAAATCAACTTATTTCAAGAATACTCAAATCTAGGGATAGGATCCTAGATTACTCCTTTACTAATTTGAAAGAACATGTAGGATGTGAGGACGAACTAGTCCAACACTATGATAGCCTTACATACATTAAAGAAGAAGGTTCTTGAATAATCTTGAAGAAGAACTTTATTAGAAGCCTTGAAACCCTAGCTTGAAGGAGAAAAATCAAGAAAACTTTTCTTGAGGTTCTTAGAATTACATTCTTGAAATTTCTATGGCCAAGAATTATGATTTTCATTAGTGATTCATAATTGTATGGAGGAATTTAAGTTGGAAAGAATGAAATTCTTGGAGAAGGACTTACATTGAAGAAGAATCTTGAAAAATATTGAAGGAATCTTGAAAAAGATAAAAAGAATCTTGAATTGAGTCTTCTACTTTGACTTTTCCTTAGGATTTTGTCTTAGGGTTTGAGAGAGAAGAGAATGATGGATTAAGAGATGAAAATCTGATTTTTTGGGTCTTTAATTAGTCAAGAAATTTCTTTAGGGTTTTCTTAGAGGTAAAAAGACAAAAATGACCTTTTATAATGTTTTCCCGTCGGCTAATTCGTCACTGCAATATAGATGTTACTAAAATGGTCATAACTTTTTAATCAAACATTGGATTGTTGCAAAATTGGTGGCGTTTGAAAAAATATCTAAATACCTTTAATTTGATAGGTTATTGTCCACATAACTCTTTATATTCTAGGAGATATGGTCGTTTGAAGTTGACCCAAGTGAACTCTTACATCAAAACTTAATCCGTAAGGAAACTTTCAACTCAACTTTGTGCTAGGAGTTGTTAGTGACCTTAATTGATATCCAAAATCATTGTCATACTAAGGAATTCACCTTTACATATATGGGAAATTTAAGAATCACCCGATATGACCCTACATGTAAATGAATAATAGTTCGGCTCTTAACTTAGAAATTTTTGGGGTGTTACAATATCTCCCCTTTGAGATCATTCATCCTCGAATGATGGCTGGTCTGAGAATGGAAAGGGGTTACTCTTACTATATTCAAGTTTAACTCAGAATCACAAAGTACTTAACATTGGGTGATCATTTTGATCTAAATCACAAGATTTGGGTTTTATGCCTCTGTAGTAAATTTCATCCCAAGAACACTACTCCAGACTGCTACATTCAACTAACCTTGAGCTCATATCACGGAACACCCAATGTATCACACATTGTCCACGTGTTAACAACACCAAATTCAAGCTTAGAACCTTAACCACTCCATAGACTCCTACTAACCCACTTTCTAAGAACTTCTCATCCTCTCATCATCTCTACCAACTAAACTTTCATTCATTACCACCAGGAAGCTGAATTAGTACTCATTGTAAAACTTTATCTCCTTCTTCCTCCACATTCATAACCTTAGATGGAATAAAAAAATCATCACTATCACAATAAGAAATAGCGATCCTCTGCTCCATCATCACACAACTACTATCAACAATACCACTCTCCAAAACTAAAAATGATTACTAAAAGGACTTTAGGGCGAAAGA